CATTTGCCTCCAATGTTAATGTGTTCAATAGCCTATTGTTAATAATATGATTGACTTTTTAAACATTTTATATTGCTTTCTATCGGAGTTCTTGAACTCGTTTTATAGCTACAAAAAAGCACTCAATATTTACTGTCAAAATACATTGTACAGTATTATAATTATATTCAATGAAAGAGTTCATTGATTAAATTAGTTATGAATTTTGTTGATTTTTGTAAAAGTTATTTTTAGTGTTTGAAACTTTTAAACTAATATCTTATTGGTTTGAAACTAAAACTTCAAATGAAATCAATACTATTACATAAGAATTTAAGTAATTTAAAATAATAATAGTATTGAGACCTTGACTGTGACTTAAGGGCATAACAAGGGTTCATGACTTGTATTGGTCTAAGAATAGACCGAAAGAGTTGACGTCTGACCGCATGAACCCATAGCCCGGAGAACTTGTTTTGCGAAACACAATATCATTGCAACAGTTATTATGCGAGCAAACTATGCAATCGTTTCGCGAGGGTTTCCACTCAATTAGTATTCACTTTCCATTCATACACTTATTTGGGAATTTCTATTGGGGTTTAAAGTCTTAAAAATGTGAAATCAATTCAAATAAAGTAGAAATTGTTATTCAAAAAAAGAGATGTTTTTTATAATAAAAATTCCATATAAATTTAAATTTAGCTTTAATTATATTCAGATATAAATATATTCTTAGAATCATTAAAAGTGAAACTATGATATGTTATTATTTTGTTGTTTGTTAATTAAGTAATGTACTATAGTGCTCGATTTTTGGGGCACTAAGTACATGCAATACTGGGAAAGGGATTTCTCGGTAGGGGTGAACACAACCATTAAAACTTTTTATGATACCTGAGGCTATTGTGCGGGGATTCCTAACATATATTTTCATTGAAACTTTTATTTATATTTTGATGAATTGTGTGGTAAGCCGTCAGCATGGGGTGGGTTTCCATAAGTTTTTAGTTTTGTATTGTTTTTTTGAAGTATAAATGCCAAAAAATTACCCGTTTATTAAAAACAATAACATTGATACAAATGTAATTGATTGACTTCAAAAAACCTTTATATGGTATTAAAAGTTTTAAAATTTGACAAGCAAAATTTTCCAAAAAATAATGTAAAGTAGATGTTTGAGAAATTTTAGTAAAATATAAAATTACAAAAAAGCATTGAAAACAACCAGTCATTAATTCATCAGTCATTAAATATTATGTTTTAATAAAACAATTTTTTACAGTGAAATTGACAGTTATATACAAACAATTATTAACAAATAATAATTAGTTGTATGTCCCAGAGAATGCACCGAAAAGTTCTTAAAATACTGTATAAATTGGTTAAAAATGAGCATATTTAGTAATAGTCTCAAAATAGATTTAATCATTTGATTAGTAGAAAAATAAGCGTAACCTGAGATACTTAAGGGGGCCTTAAATTGGTCTCGAATACAGGTTTCAGACATAAAGTTTAGAAGTTGTGACACAGACTGTACGATATATGTATAATAATGACCTAAGTTTTAGGATTTCATTAGTTTTGTGTCATATTTTCATTTGATTAATAGTATTCTTAATAAACGCAATTAAATACTGAATTTCTCACTTTTACATATAAAAAAAATAAAATCTCACAATAATTTAGTAATTTTCCAACTAGTAACATAATAATATCAAATAACTAATTATCAACCAATTGTAATACCCTTGCACACTGTAGTGCCATTTAACACGATTGTATTTAAATCCTTTTATAAATAAATCATAAGTCATATGAAATAATCGAATAAATGATGCAATTATAATAAATACTGTTTATTGTAATGCTAATACATTATTGTAATTATTTCACTATAATAAATGGAATTAATAGTTAGTATTTAAATAAACTGAAATTATCTTTACATAGAAATTACCCAAAAAAATTTCCTTGCTGCATACGTAATAATTATTTATAAAACAACAAATTAAAAATTCATATTTAAATTTTACAAAAATAAATTTTATAATAAATTTTAATGACTTCTATGAATAATTTAATTTAGAGAAAGTTTGTCGTAAACATACAAACAAAAAATGTCAGAAAACAAAGAGCAAGAAGTAATTGATATAAAAGATGACACATTAGAGGAAACAAACGCTGAAAACGATTTCAATTTGGATAATAACAATGAGAATGAATGCCAAACAACTAAATCAAATGGGAGTGAGAAGGGGTTCACAGTGTTTGGGTATAAGATGTCTCAAATCAAATGGGGAAATGTGGTATTTCTAACGGTTATGCATATTCTGGCCGCTTATGGATACTATCACTGCATTGTAGTCGACATTAAGGCACTGACCGTCACTTTTATTTATATAATATCGTGCGCTTCGGGATTAGGTTTGAACACTAAATATATAAAATGTATTGCAAATGACAACTAATACGTGCATTGAATGGTCAGGCATTTTGGTCGGTTCCCATCGGCTGTGGGCTCACCGCTCGTTCAAAGCTCGATGG